AAGATCCGGATGGTGATAGTTAGTTTAAAGACAGGCCTACAAAGTTATCATAGTGACCTTCTAAAACTATCCTTTGCTGCCGTTCAGAAATGACAGTCCGAAGATTGAGAATTTTGGCCGATCATTGGTATTGTCGGACACCACGCTTTGAGAGCTTATAACTTTCTATGCACTCTTGCTAGAGCTACAAGTTTTGTCACGCAAATAAAGGATAACTATTGCTATAATACTTTGCAGTTTCATGAGATGGCAATGTATAGTTTTCCTAAAACAAGTGTCCGAAAATTGATGGTGTACGATCATTGATAATGTACTCTAATATACAATGAGCTGAAAGATGTTTTGCTTTTACAATAATTTTAGTAGACACAAAATTATTAATATTTTTAGTAGACACAATAATTATTAATATTATTTTTAGTAGACACAAAATTTTGTAATGGTAGACAGGAAAATCATTATGATTAATTACTTAGTTAGCCATGCCCTGTATTTAGATGGCTAACGTTCGCTCTAATGTCGACTCCTTTCCAGGCTCCTCTCTTGTCAGTAGCAGTTTATCTATCTTCAGAGATTATTCTGGCCAGCTCCAAACTGAAATAACTGACCCGTCAAGGCTATACCATCATCTCTCCCGTGTTGCTCCAGAACTCTTGGATGAATATGGCGGCCATGGTGACTCTTATAGTGTCTCCAGTCTTCAAAATCCCACCATTTTAACCCATCACCTGCTCAACGGGGTCAGAATGGCCATTTCACGAGACCCAACTAAGCTTGTAGTGTTTCTGAATGCCCTATCTGAATTGATTGACCCTCGAGTTGACCAGAGATTGAATCGTATTGCACATGAAATGAAAGAGCATGAAGGTATGATTGTAGTCTCACAGCTGCGTGATACTTGTATGATTGAGCTAGTTGTAATTTTGTAACGTAACATAATTTACTAAAAAATTGCACAATTACCAAATATACATTTTGAATGAGCATTTCTAATGTGTAGTATGGTATTCCTTGGTTTATACAATAATTGATCAATGGTAATCATGATTGGCATTAGAAAAAGTAGCTTCCTTAAAAAAACTTGAACTTATAATTATCAGTGCTTGATTGCATGGCGTAATACACAAGTTTTTATAGGCACATTTTTTGTGATTGGTTGATACTTATTATGACATAAATTATCACGGAATCTGTGACATCATGTTTAAGTGGACTCAATAAAAATTTATTAATCATGAAAATTTTGCCTTAAAAACTAACATGAACTTACATGTACATGTACAATAACTATCCATCATTTATTTATAATAGGAAGAAAAGAAATGTCGTGTCTTCAGCAACATGATATGACCAAAGTCACTTTATTGTTCATGTTTTTACAAATCTACACTAAAG